TGTAAATAAGGATAAGATCGCATCCATAGCCTTTGTCCCAGTAGTTCTCTGAAAACCTGCAAAAAACATGGTGGTAATATCCTGCAGACCCAAAAAAAGAAGACGATAGTACCAGAGAGATCCGTTCCTGCAAAGCATCAATTTCCTCTTCATCTCTTCTATATGCACGTATTATTTCACCCACTTCTGCCACATACGATTGCATTTATGGACACCCTGAAAGAGATTGCAAAAGAGAATTCATTCGTCATTGAAATTCAAAAAATTGGCAATACCCATTTCTATACAAAAGCATAAATATGAAGAAAGCTTTTTATTCAAAGATAAAACTATGAAAAATGGAAAACATCATATAAGCGGATACCAATCAGAAGTTTAAAAGAACATCGATGTAAAATATATTGAGTTCAGTTATTCTCACGCTATAAAATCATAGGAACAAAATTCTGACTAAGCAATACAACATTCCTAGATCTAAACTATCTCTGTACATCAAAATCAAAAACCTAACATTCTAAGCTCAAAAATTTCTAATTTCATTCAAGCGTGGATAGATCAGGCTGACAAGTCGTCCCTCAAAAGAAAATATAAAGGGATCAAACTTGAGCTCTAACAACATCAGTAACAATTTTCTGAGTGAACTGGATACGATTGTTCATGACACAAAGATTGATGAAAAGTGGCTAAAAGCTGGAGCGTAGTTGTAAGCATTCTAGTCATATACGCTAATCAGATACTCTAAGTAAGGCTTCTGTACACGCGCTGAAAAAGATTGAGGAAAATACAAGTGCATCCTAATCCTAATCTGCGAACCAGTGGCGGTGGCAGAGATGTTTCCTAAGGGATTGAGTACGGCATTAATCCAAAAACGACAGAGGGGCGTAGATACTTCCCCCTTCAACAAGGAGAGTTTTCCGTGCGAAGTTTTCTGAATGTATCGTTACCAGATCGTAGTAAATTCGACGTCATTACGAGCTGATATTTCGAACTCCTCTTCTTCAGCTATCCGAATCAGTACCATCTAATCTGACTATCTGTATTTCCAGAGCGAATTTCTCTGTGTACAGGGCGTTCATTATTTCGCGGTTTGGGTATTATAGAGAGCTGTCCCCTTCATCCTTACCATAGTGGTAGAAGGTAGTGCAAAGTATATCTCTCATCAATCTAACCAGTACCTTTGGAGATAAATACCTTAGCCGTGATACATCTGCGCTGTCGCTTGCGTGTATCAAAAAAGGCCCCAAAATCAGTTTCCACGAGCGACCGGGCGTCCATAATCTGCCTGAACGCTGCCTTTAACGGAAGTGGCTCGGCAAATCTCAACCTAGTCAAATTCTCGCTTATTTGGGGTTATCCAATGCGCTGATTCCGAAAATCCTTTAGACAATTTGAAAACGGCGAAAACGAGCGTTCTCCAATGCCCTTCGCTTTGAACTTGGACGAGTGGAGCGAGGCTTGACGCTGAATCGTTGCGGGAGCCAATGGTTTTAGCATCGCGGCGGGCAGCCTCCAATGGTAAGAGGGGACTTGCCGACTTGTCCGAGTGCATGTAAGTTATAGCAATTTTCTCGGCAGGTAAGGGATGCTGTGCGACCGGATTGGTTGTTTTCATACTTATGCGATAAGCAACCTACCGCGTTAAAATTTTGAGTTGCTAAGTTTTGCCGATCCACTGCCGTTGAGAAAGCCTCTTCATCTAAAGCGCCAGAATGATGTTTTGCTCAACATTCGAGGTCTGATGAGCTCAACTCCACATCCATGTGTCGATAACGTTTGTTACAAAACTAATGATATACCGCAGAGCAAATTATTATTGTAAACCATGAACTGTGCGCTCTTTTCTGCAATGGATGTCTAGAAAAGTGTTCAAAAGAGTTGCCATGTGGCAACTTTTCTAGACTTTTTTCTCTCAAACAAGGACAGCAAACAGGAAAAAAGCCTGGGTTCTTTTTCTGCAAGACGGGTAGACACAGCGCTGTAAACTATAAAATAGGGGAACGCTCGGTTGGTCGCAACATCCCACATTTTCCACAAGCTCTGATACTGATTCCTAAAGGAGGAGCATAAAGCTAACGTTCTACGATATTTACAGAAGTAATATGATTGCTTGCCAAAGAGAATGAGTTACTTGCACAAGTCGGCAACGCCGATAAACTACTTCTTGGAAAAAGGAGAGAGTTTTTGCCCCTCCCTTACTCCGATCCCGCCACTGCTATGAACATACTCGTAAATTGAAAAGGCAACATTTAGAGGTGCGAACAACAGACATTCACCAGTGCTGTGCAAAAAAAAAGACAAAGAATGAGAAGATGCAGTTTCGTAGTCGTGTTCAAAATGGAAAACCTACAATTTTTGTACCTTACATAATGTGCTGCGTATTGGTAGCCGAAGCTGACTAACAACAAAAATTGCAGCTTAGACGCCAGCCGCTTTTGTTCCCTGCTTTTGCTCTGCTTCCCCGGCATTCTGTGGAATCCCTAACGTTTTGTCAAAAAGTCGTCCTTTCTGTCGTGTGGGCACTCCTTCTTGGTACTTCACAGGTTTAGGATCATAATACTGAACAGTAACGTAAGATCACGAGATAGCCAAGTGTTATGAAAACTGACCTTATTGCCTTGTCGATCGATGGCAAAGTCGTAAACTTTGGGATTCTCAAGGGCTTCAATAATCTTGGCCTCCAAATTCGTTTTATCGACAAAATCTCGACTCCGAGCAATAGCAGCACGGACCTTAAATAAATTATGCCAATCTTTACCGCATATACTCATTCAGTGAATGTAAAGGACCGGGCATACATCAAGCGATTTCATCGCCTATTCTCCCAACAAGACAACTGCTACAAGTCCATTGCATGCCAACCACATTGCATTTCGATTATGATACTTCTCGCTGTCGGAAAACTATCACAACCAAGATGTAAGATGATTGGCATGCAATGAACCGGTAACAGTAGTCCTGCTGAGAGAATCGCGAGACGATGACATCGCGTGATGTATGCCCGGCCCTTGAAATTCTAGAAAAACAAGATGTATCCGTACCTCTTCAGTAGCTTCCTTCGCTATTTTTTGCCGCTTCTCCAAAGCTTCTTCTATCTCATTCAAAATTTCACGTTGAGTGTTTTTCCACTCAGTTTCTTCGCGAATAGCGCGGGCTTCGGCCTAAAAACTCGCTAAATTGAAAAAAAAAACCAGGAAACTAAAGCAAACTCTACACCTTTTCCTTATTGATTCGATCATTTTCAGCAATCAGGCGATTAAATTCGGCATCTTCTTCCTCTTTCATTGCTTCTATACCCTTTCCAGCTGCTTCAGCTTGTCGGATCTCTTGCCGAAAAACCTAAACCTTCCTCATATCCTTTATCCTAACAAATTAATTCTGTGAAACTTGCCTCTTTCAGCGAAATAACAGCGTTATTGTAAACATGTCGCCTCCATAGCAATTCTTTCACATCTTCTGGAGACTGCCAAGGGACATGGACGACATGGTAAAGGACCTTCAACCACGTAAATGACATTTAAAGGCAGTGTCCAGGCAGATTTGGGCGTATGGATTTTTTACCAGTAAACTGATGAGGGGGTCCCAA